ATATATATATATATATATATATATATATATATATATATATATATATATGTACACGTTGTTCCATTACCGAGAGTAATGCTTCAATTCCAGCGCAGTGATTTGGTACATAGAAAAGATAATTGCAAAAAAATTTGCATGTTTTAAGTATGTAAGGAAAATCTTACGCGTACATATCTTTAATTCGCCATAATCACATATTGTTTTTAGTTTTTCTGAGATATCAGATCACGCATATAACAGGAATGTTAATCCAAATGCTAAGAAACACGCCCGACAAGAAACATAAAAGTTTGTTTATTTTTCATTCGGAAACTTGTTAGCGATTGTATTGGTACTTTCGTATTTGGTGCGGTTCACGACAACATAAGATATTAGTACAAGTTTTCATAGAGAGAAAGAGAGATGTAATAGCGCAAATTTTCAATGAAAAAAGGCATGATCGATTTATAAAAAATCGTCAGCAGTTTTATTAAATACAAATAAAGATGGGACGTTGAACCAATCGTAGATGAGGAAGGACTCGCAGGTGTTCTCTTCCGTTTGCGGTTCAGCACAATCACGTGTATTAATATAGGAAACTTCATATGCAACGACGTCAAAGCTCAAGCCTCAGCACGTTCATTATGTACATTTGGTTATTGACGCTTTTTTTTATTTATTTTTATAAAAGTATAGGACTATTTACCAAATAAAACTCGTTAGTATAAAACCGCCTTAACGACACATCACACGGGTCTATACGGTACTTGACATCACGCCGACCGCGCCGAATGCCTCAGTTCGGAAAGAAACTTCCTATTTGTAATCGGAGATACTATATAAGATCCGTTAAATTACACGATACGCTACGAAGAGTTACGACAAAACTCAGCAGCTGTGCTCCACTTAATTGTATTGTTAATACATGATAAAACGCGTTTTTTTCTCGCCGGTGTCGTCTTACATTCTCCGGTAAATTGGCACCGATCCAATGGAAAATATTTCGTACACAATCAAGCCCGAGTAAGGCAAATATATGTGTGTGTATGTGTGTGTGTGTGTGTATATGTGTGTGTGTGGTAGATCGAAGGTTCTGTCCCTAGTCGGTTAATTAGCTATTTTATACATTACATGTCATGATAACTTTTAATAATCAACTCGAAGAAAAAAGTTCAGAGAGACTTATTGCACATTTGTGAAATATATACGACTGCGTAATGTTCAATTACAATGTTTGCGCGTTTGGTACAAAGCATAAAATACAGTACACTGTAATGCCCGATAATAACAAGATATAAAATTTGCGTGGAATTTAAATCCGGTATGTATGTTCAGCATTCGGAAAATCATCTCGTTGACATACACGCGATAACGTGAGCAGAACTGTTACGAATTCTTTGAAAAAAATAGAATGAAACCCTTTTTTTTTGCGCTTTAAAGTCATCTCGCCACGCACGCACGCACGCGCATACATACACACACACACACATACACGTGTCTCCATTATCGTTCATTCTTGCTTCATCGTCTCATTATTATCACGCGAAAATTGAACGGTACTTTCGGTACTAAATGCCCAACGAACGAAGTAACGTTGCGAGACGAATGTTTCTTTTTGGCAAAGTCGTACGACTTGATCATGTCTAAATCTCTTTCACACAAGAAGCGAAACGTACATTTGACGATCTCACATTTTATACAGAAAAAAACTGAAGCCTATCGCTCGACAATTTCCCATATCCATATACAGGGTGTCTCACACTCTCCTCCGGACATTTTGTGGGGATGTAGAATGGGTTAATGTAAACATAAAAGTTCTGTACCGTTTTGTGATTCACAATAATTATCGAGATATTAATTGTAGAAAATTTGTGAATAATTATGCAGAATATGGTAAATGAGTTACAGTAGCGACGACTGCCGTCGTGTACTTATACTTTAGGTCAAATTGAACAAAAAAGTCTTCTACCATTTTCCAAATAATCACATAGATTTTTAATTATTAATTAAAGAAGATTATTGCATGATTTTGCGTGATAATGCACTCATCTTCTTTAATTAATAATTAAAAATCTATGTGATTATTTGCAAAATGGCAGAGAACTTTTTTGTTCAATTTGACCTAAAATATAAGTACATGACGACAATCGTTGCTACTATAACTCATTTACCATATTCTACATGATCATTCACAAATTTTCTACAATTAATATCTCGATAATTATTGCGAATATCGCAAAACGATATAAGACTTTTATGTTCACATCAATCCATTCTACGTCCCCACAAAATGCCCAGAGGAGAGTGTGACACCCTGTATGTATATGTGTGTATATGTGTATATATATATATATATATATATATATATATATATATATATATATATATATATAACGTTTTTTATTCGAAAAAAGAACATGAGCTTCCTTTGTTGAACACAGAAGACAAAGATTCAATCATCTAAAAATATAGTAATCCAACGAAATAATGTACAATGAAGACTTTTCTTAATAGTGGGCTACATTTTCAATTCAAGTGTACGATCTAAATTTCAGGAGATGTGAAGAAAGCGGAGGTTTAATTTCATCGATTTTCAGGCACACACGATTTGCATAAACGCAATGGACATAACGTACAGATAACCTGGCAAATGAGAAGCGGCGGGTTTATTTACAATGTATTTCGCGTCGGAATATGGATATGTCGGGCTGAAAATTCCTTTCTCGCCGTTATTATCGACGTTTTCAAGAAACCTCGAATCTTTGAACGAGACGTACTCGTTGACACATAGTGCCAGTTTTCCCAAAGAGTCACAGATGATGTTCCTAATGTTTTTCCTTATATTCATAGAGTCATCGATCTATTAAAAATTATCTTTTAACAAAATCCAAGTACACCAGATCATTATTAGTTTTTCATCATTCGCGCAAGGCGTTCAGGACAGGTACAGTCGTGGTATGTTCGTCGACAGCGGCGCGGAACGCTTGAAATGATCATATTAATTACTCTGGTCCGCGATTTCTCAATTACTCAGAAATTTCGTGCAGATAGGCGCGGATGGCACGCGCGAATCCCGTAGATATCTCGGTCCCTCATACTGAGCGCGTAGTTTACAATTAAAACGTAGGTAACTTCTCTATTCAATTATTTGTTAAAAAATATCTTCGTTTCTACATAAGTAAAACGCTCTTCTATCGTATAAACCTCAGAAGATGCCCGTTCATTCGCGCTCCTATGCGCGCCTATCCATCATTGGATTACTATATCTTTCCGGAAGCTGCATTCGCGTATGCTGTCTAACGAACGAACGAACGAACAAAATCCCGATACCAGCGGTTTAATTCGATAGTATCGAAACGATACAACCGAGAGTGTCGCTCGAAGATACTTCTCTCTTCTCTCCAGGACAGTGTCGCGTCGTGATTCCGGACTGTCGTATGAAAAAGTGATTTTCCTTCCTCTTAACGCGATGGTCGCAGTCGCCTTAATGAACCAATGTGAACATCTCGTTGAGATTTTCAACGACACTCTCGGTGATGTTGTCCGGGTCTCTCAGTTTCGTTTACTGAATACTCAGGAGAGCAGCGGGATACGGCCATTTATGTGTAATACTGGACGTCCTCTGGTCTCTGTGCCCCCTTTCGTTGCTCCTGCACGAATTCTCGTCGCTGTCTCTTTCGTTCTATCTTTTCCCTTTTTCTTTCTTTTATCTCCGCTTTGAGCTTTTGATATGCCATTAAATCGCGTTCCACGCTCAGTCTGCCCTTTGCGTGACAGGTGGAAACTCGGAATCGTCATCCAGACGGAACGGGCCGCCGCCCTTCGGTGGGCTTTCTGTCGCCGCTATCATCTCCTGATACTTCTCTGACTCTACAAACCCATTCACATTTAGATTATCAGGTCCGGCTCCTGTCACATTTTAAGCGGATGTAACGATAAAGATGTTATATAGATCAGCGCTCAATGATATATTTTATGCATTCAGATACACATATACTGACTTGGAGATCGTTATTGTGGAGCACGCGTGAATTTTTACAATGGAACTACTAGGACTAGAAATATTTAGAGTTAAAGGTCGCAAGTGTTACACAAACATGAATGATTTACTGTGAGATGTTTCTTTTTTTTCTCTTATCTGAATGCAAATAACAAATATTTCATTGACTGTCGCTTTTACGTCGAATTGCCGTGAGGTACATCCACTAATGAATTCGTTAATGATATGAAACAGTGGTCTTCTCTGGGAAAATGAGAATTCGGCCATTCGGTTTCCTATTGCATATATATATATTATTGTCGTGTGTAATAAAATAATCTAAGAAATCGGCAGAAAAAAATTGTTTTAAATGATATGTATGTGTGCGTGTGTGGTATGTGTGTGTATATATATATATGACATTATCTATCTTTTGTAAAAAAAAAAAAACAAAAAAAAACACGTAATGTAGTCACTCATGTAGTCGTGACATTTTCGAAAATACACTCAACAGTAAATACAAAAATATAAAAATAGTAAAAAAAAAAAATATATATATATATATAAAGGCCTGTTCGCAAGAATAGACAAATCTGAGCAGCGTGGTACTATACTTTCACAAATCTAACAAGGTTTTACATCTCTGATATTTTACACTTTACCCTGTGTTCAACTGCATTATTTTTTATTACATATATATACATATATATTTACAAAATATGTATTTAGAGTGTCCCGCCACTACCGCATTATCTTTTTAAGGGCGGATTCCTGAGGTAATTTGAAAAAAAAAATCTTAATGCAAAAATGTCGAGGCTATAATATTTTTCAAATTATAAACGATTAAAGTTGATCAATTATATTGAGTACAGTACACGCAATCAGGTACGGTACAACACACAATGGTACAGGCACATAAATGAGAATTTGCATAAGATATGAAATTAGTAAATCTCTGAAAGAAACATCAAATGTGTGACAGCTTATTGATTCTCATAAATATGTTGTGATATTTTATTCATAACATTTTGACGAAATTGTTATTATTTACGATATGTTTATTTAAATGATAGAAAAGGCAGATTATTATTACATACGTTGTTGTATGTATGGAACTTCCATATCAATATTTGGAAAAGAGGCGACATGTACATGCACCTGTACTATTGTGTGTTGTACTGTACCTGAGCGCGTGTACTTTAGCCAGTATAATTGGTCAACTTTAATCGTTTATAATTTGAAAAGTATTATAGCCTCGGTATTTTTGCATTATGATTTTTTTATTCAAATTACCTTAGGAATCTGCCCTTAAGAGATAATGCTGTAGTAGTGGAACACTCTATATAATAAAAAATAATATAGTCGAGTATACAAAAGGTAAAAAATAAATCAAAATTTATATATATATATATATATATATATATATATATATATATATATATATATA